CTTTGAGACACACGTGGATATTTACGGAAAAGTAAATATACCTCAGTCACATGAGAAAAAATTCTACTGAAATAAAATGCTGTTGAATAAACAGTAGTTCCCAGTATATGTGCCGTGTCGTGCAATGGTAACGTACTTGTCTAGTAATCTTGGTGACCTGCGTTCGATCCTGCCAGTGGATGGTAACCCCGGCCATCCCTTGCACACAGGGGGAGATTTAGAAGCAAATAAAACAGACAGCAAGCCACAGCAAAGCATATAGATTGCAACAAATGGAATTAAAACTAAATCAAAATCAAATAAAAAAACCCACTCATTATAATACATACCAATACTTGCATCGTTACTGCAACTGTTACAGAGGCTGCTTCCACTGCTTGAGATCTGGCTTAGAAAATAGGGAAAGTTAAAGAGTTAAAAGTAAATGTAATATACATAATATCATGATGAATTTGCAATCAATGAACGCAAAATATTTTGTAAAGGAACAATCTTTGCAAAGGATTAGTGAGTTTTTTTTCTGCATCCAACTCAAAAACCGCAAAAAACAATGAGAATAGAAACAATTTTAATCGTCGGAGCATAAGAGCATAAAAGAAGACATAAAAATATGCAAAGTCAAGAAACCACATTTTCTTTATGTTCTTAGCCCTCATTTACTTGAGCATTCATGTCTAGGCTTCCCGAAATCACTCACATATGCTAATACAGTATGTATACATGTATTAGTCATAATCTAAAACATAGAACACTTCTATGACGTAATGAAAACGTAACCAGGGCTAAAGGAACACGTGGAAGACAAACTGCAAATACTGTACGTGATTTCTAGCGTCGTATCCACGAAACGTCGTAAGTCGAGGACCCCTGTAATACGAAACAGATAAAAGCGATAAGCAGTAAAGCAGACGACAAAAGGTTTCCTGCGTGTTCTTCGTCAGATGGCAGTCAAATGTGGCGTCCAACGAAGTACATAAACAAGGCAAACAAAAAGAGCAGCTTTGCATTTCACTTAGAAAAAAAAATCATGTTGGGTGTCACCAGTGAATTTAATTTTTACATTTTCATAAAACGGGATACGTTGAATTGCAACATTTCCTTTCACACATTGAACTTTGCGTGTCTATGATGAACCCGACGAACGACAGAAGATTATTCTAACCCTTCTGGCACTGAAAAGAGGAACATCAAACCCGGGCCGTGTATACTGGATGAATCATCAATTAAATCACTGAACTGCACTCGGTTTGGCTGCTAAGTTACAAGTGATTCCATGAATACTAATCAAACACGTTAAAGTGCAATAAAGGAGGTAAAAACAAAAATAAAGAGTGTGACCAAACATGTTAAGAGTACAATAAGAGGACTAAAAATAAAAACAAAAAAAAGTGTGTGACTAAATATGCTCAAGGGCAATAAAGGGAGTAAAAACAAAAACAATGCGTAACCAAATACATCTTTATTGCCTCAAATAATGCCATAGATGATATAAAACATGACACACTTCTTAGAGCCAAATAGAGCTAAGAGCGATCGTTGTAAAAATGTATCATTAGAAATGCTGAACCATACAAATACGATGAATTTCTTTCTCTCTCTCTCTCTCTCTCTCTCTCTCTCTCTCTCTCTCTCTCTCTCTCTCTCTCTCTCTCTCTCTCTCTCTCTCTCTCTTCTCTCTCTCTCTCTCTCTCTCTCTCTCTCTCTCTCTCTCACCTCCCTCTCTCTCCCCCATCACTCTCTCTCTCTCTCTCTCTCTCTCTCTCTCTCTCTCTCTCTCTCTCTCTCTCTCTCTCTCTCTCTCTTCTCTCTCTCCTCTCTCTCTCTCTCTCTCTTCTTCTCTACTCGAAATATATTTCCAATCTTTAACCCCAAATTTCTTTGCTGTATCTCTTCCTCCTCTATCTTCCACCTTCTCCTCCATTCCTCCGTTTACCACCACCTCTTTACCTCTCCCTCATCCGCCTGTTTCCTTCCCCTCTCTTTCTCTCCTTCACACGATGCCCGGACGCGGGCCGTGTTACATACGAGCTTGGCAGCGCGGTGAAGTCCTCTGCCTTGTAGCCGTGTTCGCACATGCTGATGACCGGCTTGAGCACACGGAGGGCGTACGGGTTCTGTGAATGAGGAATTATCACGGTGTAGAAAAAGGTATGAATGGCAATGAATATCTTCGCCTTATAAGAGATGTATTTGATTGGTTTCGAATATATCTTGGTCGGAAATACGTGTGTTTCTGACGGAGATATATTCGAAACCGGTTAAATACATCTCACATATGGCGAAGATAGTCATTCTCTTGTTTTGTGGAATATTCATTCTCTTTCATACATTTTTTTTCTACTTTGTCACAATGAATAAGGTTCATCGAATTATTACGGATGCGTGAAGTAGGTATTGCTGATGGCTAAGGAAGAATATATATATATATATATATATATATATATATATATATATTATATATATATATATATAATATATATATATATATATATTATAATAAATAACACCTACATTATTCCATAAATACACCTAAGTACTTCTGAGCTTTGACTCCTAATATATATAGATAGATAGATAGATTATGCATTCTTAGTAAGGGACTGTTTTTCGTCATCGACGTCTGTCTAATAAGGAATAATTTAACGAAGACACAACCACTATACAGTATGTCAGTTCTGCATTCTTTAGTCTACGTCATCAATCACAATCAAAGTCTTTGTTTAAATGTTCAAACTCTGAACATTTCTCTCTCTCTCTTCTCTCTCCTCTCTCTCTCTCTCTCTCTCTCTCTCTCTCTCTCTTCTCTCTCTCTCTCTCTCTCTCTCTCTCTCTCTCTCTCTCTTTCTTCTCTCTCTCTCTCTCTCTCTCTCTCTCTCTCTCTCTCTCTCTCTCTCTCTCTCTCTCTCTCTCTCTCTTCTATCTCTCTCTCTCTCTCTCTCTCTCTCTCTCTCTCTCTCTCTCTATCTATCTATCTATCTATCTTATCTATCTATCTATCTATCTATCTCTCTATCTCTCTCTTTCTCTCTCTCTCTCCCTCTTCTCTATCTCTCTCCCTCTCTCTCCCTTCTCCCTCTCTCTCTTCTCCTCTCCCTCTCCTCTCCCTCTCCCCTCTCTCTCTCTCTCTCTTCTCCCTCTCCCTCTCCCTCTCCCTCTCCCTCTCCCTACTCTCACCTCACCCTCTCCCTCACACCTCTCACCCTCTCCCTCTCCCTCTCACCTCTCCCTCTCCCTCTCACCTCTCCCTCATCCTCATCCCTCTCCCTCACCCTCACTCCCTCACCTCTCCCTCTCTCCCCTGTGGCTTGAGATCGCCCGCGGCACTGACCTTCGCCAGGTGGAAGCAGTGGTCGTGGAAGGCCCTGACGGAGGCGGTGTAGCAGGGCCAGCGGGTGATGGTGTGGTTTCCGCTGGCCACGAGCAGCGAGGCCATCCTAGGGGCGCCGCCGGCCACGTGGCTGATGATGCGGGTCATGGCCACCTTGACGATCACGCGGTTCTGGGGAGAGAGGATGGCCCTGTTAGATGGCCCTCTGGCATGGCCCTGTTAGATGGCCCTCTGCATGCCTGTTAGATGGCCCTCTTAAATAGACCTATTAGATAGACCTGTTAGATGGCCCTGTTAGATAGACCTATTAGACAGACCTGTTAGATGGCCCTGTTAGAATTACCTGTTAGATGGCCTTCTTACATGGTCCTATTAGATGGCCCACTTAAATGGCCCTGTTAGATAGACCTGTTAGATGGCCTTATTATATTATACCTGTTAGATGGCCATATTAAATAGACCAGTTAGATGGCCCCCTTGAATGGCCCTATTATATACCGGTTAGATGGCCCAGTTAGATAGACCTGTTAGATGGCCTTGAAGTTACTGGTTACATTTGTCATCAATAATAGTAGTAGTAATAGTAATGATGGTCATCGTCACTGAAAATAATAACGCAAACATTTTAGTAATAATAATAAAAATAATAATGGTGATAATAATAATAATAATAATAATAATAATAATAATAATAATAATAATAATAATAATAATAATAATAATAAAAGTAATAGTAGTAGTAGTAGTAGCAGTAATAATAATAACAATAACAATCAATAATAAACCTGTTTTTAGTCTGCAACTCCCCTGTTCAAAGAGACAATACGGCGACATCAACATCAATAAAATGAAATGCCAAAAAATTAGCGGCGCCAAACGCCCATCTCACCATCCGCAAGTGCCGGAGCTCCTCCTTGAGGGCGTCCACCTCGGCGACCTCCTTGGCCCTCCGGATGCGGGACTTGAGGATCGCCACCGGGACGTCTGGGCTCGGCACGGCGCTTTCCTGAGGCGGAGGACGAGCGTAAAGGATATTGTGCTTGGGAAAGTTTGGTGATGATGATGATGATAATAATAATAATAATATATTTAGGGTTTTGAAGACGAGCGTAAGGCGGGGGTTTTCTGCGTGGGAAAGTTTGGTAATAATAATAATAATAATAATAATTCAGGGTTTTGAGGACGAGCATAAAGGCGGGGCTGTTGTGCTTGGGAAATTTTGACAATGATAATAATAATAATAATTTAGGGTTTGGTGTGACAGGTTCTTTGTCTTCTGTCAAATCATAGGTCTGTTTATTGTGCTTCTTAACTACCCTCTGTGTGCGAGGAATGGCCAGGGTTACCGTCCACTGGCGGTGCGGGATTCGAACGCGGGTCAGCAAGATTGCTAGACGAGAACGCTACCACACAGCACACTGATTTGCTACAGCTTGCTCGGATCTGGCTCTGTGTGTGTGTGTGTTTGTTTGTGTGTGTGTGTGTGTGTGTGTGTGTGTGTGTGTGTGTGTGTGTGTGTGTGTGTGTGTGTGTGTGTGTGTGTGTGTGTGTGTGTGTGTGTGTGTGTGTGTGTGTGTGTGTGTGTGTGTGTGTGTGTGTGTGTGTGTGTGTGTGTGTGTGTGTGTGTTGTGTGTGTGTGTGTGTGTGTGTGTGTGTGTGTGTGTGTGTGTGC